GTGAAAACCTAGAATTTGGCCTTTGATGGTCGAATCCGGTGACAGCGACGTTTGGACGTCGTTTCCTTTCTAGAGGCATTGTTGATGAAGAAATGAGGTTGTTGTTGAAGAACCTCGTGGTCCTTGTAGGATGCGTTTGGTTGAAGGTGTCGTATGAATGGGTTGAGACCGTTCAAATTTTTTGGGATTGAACCATTCAATTCATGTGTTTGGCTGAATATAAGTGGTGAGCTAATTATTTAGGACGGGACCACCAGTCATGCTCACATAGTCATGCATGCAAAGGATGGCCATTTGATTCGACCGATTTGGTTGGGTGGAACGGTTCAGCATCTTCATGGCATATTCTCTTTTTTTGGCTCGAACCATTTATGTGCTTTATAACCAAACATGTCTATTTTCTGAACGATCCCAACCCATTCATGACCGCCCTTACAACCATACGCACCCGTAGTGTCCAGAGATGGTTGGTGCGGATATGGTCGATGTACTAGTTTGTCGACCGTTGGTTTGATCGCTTCGGGTTTTTTTTTCTGGCTTAGTCATAGCTTTGGTCTTATATGACTTTGCTCTTTGTCGGCATTTGTGCGTGTGTGTTAGTGTTGGTTGGGTTCATTCTAACTATACAGAAGTTTGTGTTTGCTCACTGTGTTTATATGCACTTGATGTTTTATTTTGAGTAAATAAAATCCACCGAAAAGTACAATCAACCTGCACTAACTCGATCCTCGGGGAAGTTTCCCAGCACACGGTGATGGCTAGCTTCACTTTGATCACGTGTGATCTTTCCTGCAAAGTTCTCCTTGCAGATGACATCAAACGGTAGAATTCCATCCACCTGAGGAGCATATTTCTATCCGTTACCTGCGCCTCCCTCGTGGTATACAGACTAATTCTGTATCTCGAAAATTCACTCCCATAGACTGATTCACGAGTTAAGCAGCTAGCATCAGGAACAATTAACGTGCCAAAGAAAAAGCACCGCCCAGCCGCATCCTCAACATATAAACGTAATCCTACACGCGCCTTTTGAATATACACTTTTTTAAGAGTACAAATTACGGGGTTAGTTGAGTGTGGACCCAGTGCTAAACCGTATCAGCACATAGTTTTACGGAAATGTTAACGCTCACACATGTGGGCGTTTCCACATCGCCCACACGCCTCCATCACCACTTATTTTGCCACGTATGAATAGATGACATCAGCAGAATTTTTTTTGGTTTTCGGCTTAAAAATGTTGTATCTTCTAAATAAAAAAACGAACTAAAAATCCGTTTTCACCATTAAATCCGTCTCGATGAGATCTTCAAAACTAGACCCCATGTTGATATGTTTCGACGAATTTTTTTTTTTTTTGCCAGAAGTTGCCACGATGTTTACACTGCAGTTGCCATAGGGCTTAAACTAAAGTTGCCATGTGGCAATTTTAGTTTGTAGATCATGGCAATTTTAGTATTTTGATGATGGCAACTCCAGTACTTTGACCATGAAAATTATTTTTTGTATGAACCATGGCAATTTTACGTGCATGTATCATGGCAATTTTAGTTTATGGTTCATGGCAAGTCTAGTTTCTTAATTCCCCGTTTCATAGATGTCAAAATTTACTTTTAAATGTAGAAGAAAATAGCTGAAACATATCATGGCAACTTCAGTGTAAACATCATGGCAATTCATATGCAATAGACATGGCAATTTTTAATTCAAAAAAAATTTCATCAAAACATATCAACATGGGATCTAATTTCGAAGATCTCATCGTGAGGGATTTAATGATGAAAACGGATTTTCAATTAGATTTTTCATTTAAGAAATAAAACATTTTAAAAACTGAAAATTCAAAAAAATTCTTGCATGCATGGATGCGATGACGTGGCAATATGTTTACATTAGAGACATGTGATGCGTCTCTTTTCCTGCCACACGTGTGGCAGTTAGCGCGACCCTAGTTTTATGGGTTTATTACAGACCATTTCCCGCCCGCCTCTGCATATCTCGAAATCTCAGTAGTCAAGACCCTTTCAACCACAGTGCCAAAACTACCAGATCAACCTCCGCGTTGCGTTGCGTTGCCGGAGCGAGTCCACTCATCATTCCAGGAAGCCTCGCGCTAGCTTTGCTATAAGTACCACCGTATCGGCATTGCCCACTCAAAGAATCACAAGCACAAGCAGAGCAGAGCAGCACACCAACAAGCTAGCTAGCGCGCGCGACCGAGCAAGCAAAAGAGAGATCAAGATCGAATTGATTGATCTTGTTGGTTCTACTTGACTACTTGTCGGTAGCAAATCAAGATGGCGTCTCCTTCTCCCCTGCCAGCGGCGCTGCTAGCCGTGTGCGCCTTGCTCGCCGCCATGGCGCTCTTCCAGGGCGCGCGGGCGCAGCAGCTGAGCCCGGCCTACTACGACGAGTCGTGCCCGCACGTCTACGACACGGTGCGGCGCGTCATCCAGGAGGCGCGCACCGCCGACCCGCGCATCCTCGCCAGCCTTGTCCGTCTCCAGTTCCACGACTGCTTCGTCAACGTACGTACCGTACTACACCGTCTACAGTGCGTGCATGTGCCACTGCCCGGTGCCGGCGTGGTGCGCATGCGCCGCCGCCGCCGCTATATGATTTGAGCTGAAACTAACGTGCGTGTGCGTGCAGGGCTGCGACGGGTCGCTGCTGCTGGACGACGGCCCGGCGATAAACAGCGAGAAGAACGCCGCCCCGTACAACAACTCGGCGCGCGGGTTCCCGGTGGTGGACGACATCAAGGCCGCCCTGGAGAGCGCGTGCCCCGGCGTCGTCTCCTGCGCCGACATCGTCGCGCTCGCCGCCGAGGTCTCCGTCGAGCTGGCGGGAGGGCCCTACTGGAGGGTGCTGCTGGGCCGGAGGGACGACAGGACGGCCAACTTCGACGCCGCCGACAACCTCCCGGGCCCCACGGACGCCCTCAACGTCCTTAGGCAGAAGTTCGCCGACGTCGGCCTCGACGACACCGATTTCGTCGCCCTCCAAGGTACTACGACGCACTCCATTACTGATCCACCATCAACTACTCGGATCAAACCTCGGTTTCTATATGTTATGACACGACTGGAGCGGTTCAAATGACACGTACGTCTCGCTTCATTTTCCAGGAGCACACACGATCGGCCGGGCGCAGTGCAGGTTCTTCCAGGACAGGCTCGACAACTTCGCCGGCACCGGGCAGCCGGACCCGACGCTGGACGGGGCGTACCTGTCCGCCCTGCGACAGAGCTGCCCGGCGGCGGGCGCCGACGAGCGCCTCAACAACCTCGACCCGGCCACGCCGGACGCGTTCGACAACAGCTACTACCGCAACCTCCTGCACAACCGCGGCCTGCTCCGGTCCGACCAGGTGATGCTCTCCGCGCCAGACGGTGCCGCGGCCTCCACGGCGCCCATCGTCGAGCGGTTCGCCGCCAGCCAGGCCGACTTCTTCCGGAGCTTCGCCACGGCGATGATCAAGATGGGCAACATCGCCCCGCTGACCGGAAGCATGGGGGAGGTTAGGAGGAACTGCAGGGTGGTGAACAGAAGCTGATCGCACCGGTGCTGTTTGTTGTTCAACGGAGTCATTCATTTGATTTTTTTTATTTTTTTGTTTTTCCTTTTGAAGGAATTCAATTTTTTTTCACGAATGGTCGTTGAAGAGTTCATGTAAAAATATATTCATAAGGCGTCTCAAATGTTCTGAATAATTGTCCCAACTCTGGGAGAAATAACTTGCACAAAGACAATAACTGTCTCACAAATTTTCTGAAGAGTAGTCAGTGAAACCCGCTCAAAGACAATAACTAGTCACCTAGGATGTGCATACGAACTACCTGCCAGCAATATGTTACTTATCCTAGCTAAGCAAGAGAAACTCAAGCTAAGGGTTCCCCTTACGTTGAGCTCATACCCTAACTAGGCATGCTTCGAGTCTAAATCGTCATGTTTCTAATGGCTGATAACATCTCAATTGTCACACTTAATTAGCTGACAGATGACAACTCTAATAACTACATAAAGAGCAGAAATTATACCATGCTACAAATAGTTCAATTGTTGGTCTAGAAAGATTCTCGACACACATTTACATGGAGCAAATGTTCCAAAAAGAAAAATGCTAAAATCTCCGGAAGAAAAACATTCCAAGCAAAGATGCAAAGTTTAATGTTGATTATTTGGCGGCTGGAACAAATTCTAAAACAGAGTAACAGTACAACATCTGGAATTGTCTCCGCTTCTACTGTAACTTAACATGACAACACAAAGGCAACATGGAAGCCATGGCACTTCCAATCTCATCAGTTGGTTTGTATATAAGTCCATCATGGCTCGCTAGGTGGGGGTGGTGGTGGAGGCAAAAGAAGTGCAAGGCGCTGCTTGTATCTCTCGATCCGGACTTGCCGCTCCTTGCGCAATCTGCCAAACAAAATTATGTTAAAATGAAAGACCAACTCAAAATCCAGCCAAGGTCATATTCGCATGTTCACATTTTGAATGCATGCTTGAGAGCTTGCCAATACAACAAGCTGACGGATCTGAACATGGAAAGGCACACCTACTTATCAAACTTAATGACAACTCGACAAAGACGAAAACGATTACATTGGTCATATTTTGGAAATTGTTACTGTCTGCACAATATTATTGGCCTATCTTCTTCTGGTGATTGATTCAACCTCTATTAAAAAGACAGAAGAGGTCTGGGAGAAGTACATACTTGGCACGTATATTTTTTGCACGAGTTACATGCTCTCTCAACAAGTCAGACGCCGTATATTCACTAGTATCATTCTGCACAATAAAACATCAAATATAATGGTATCAGAGTCTAAACACCTCAACTAGTGTTTTTGGTGATAGAAAAATAAGATAAGAGGTAAAATTAACCAAAGCAGGGTACACATACTGGGTAACAAAAGGTCATAAAACAAGTAAATTCCATCCTAAAGTCGCATTTTAAAATTGATCCTTCATCCATTTGGTCTCAACAAATGAGAAATAATCTACGGAATTTAACATATTTTGGTAAGGTACAACAGATGTGCCCAATCTTACCAACAGGTTAGGTGTGGAATGTTTAGCAAGATGCTATTTAATGCAATGCTCACCAACCCAATTTAAACCTTCAACAGCAAATGAGACACAAGTTTTCACTTTCCAGAACAGACAAACAATGGACCAGCAATAAGGATAAAAGCAATCACAAGCAACAGTTAGCATATGCAGGATATAAGGCTTCAAACACTTATATAAACAGAAAAGAAAGGTAAAGGGTAAAGAATGAATGAAACACTGCTCATCCACATTACATTGGTCAATGCTCTGTCCATCGCGTCTCTGGTGCACAGGGTGTTCCTTTCTTGGGCATGTCTCTGCAAATTGTGAGGGGATTAATACTGCCAAATATTTCTGGAAGCCTAAGATACAGATTTCTAAAGTGAATGCCAATCAGTCCATGAAAGGAAGGATATATGAGCACAACAAGCAAGGAAATGTTCAAGGATCTTTGATATGGAAGAAGAAACAGATTTATACATCTCAATGTAATTTCAGGGCGGATCGTCAGCATTTGATTTGGCAACGCAAAATGAATAGGCAACAGACTCCTACAGAGAACCAAATCGTGGGGTTCAGGAAAGAAATGATAGTATCGGAGGCAGAGAAATGAGCTCCTCCAGCACACCACCACCACCACAAAGCTTGCAAGCCATGGCCATCTTTCCTGTGACACCCTACCAATTCTTCCCTGGGCCTTTCAACCAGGTCATCGAACACAGGAACTTCAGGTACTGCCCTTCAACCAGCTCATTGATTTCTTCAGGTCTTACATCTATAGCTATGCCTTTGATGATCACTTATAAACCAGGTATGGATCAGAATGCTACTCTTTTCTGCAAGAAACTGCAGTTCTCGTTTGTAGCTCATGCTCTGAAGACCACCTGGCCGATACTGGTCCCTCTGAACATCATGGAAGTGGTTAGAGTTGACAAAACGAATTGGAACACTGCCTTTGCTACTCTATCATACTCTGATGAAGCTTGTCATGGATTAGATACCGAACCTGTTGCTACAGATACAGTCTGATAGCCTGGGGATTGTAATGAGTGACACCACTGCAATGATCTCTGACAGACCCACTGCACGCAAGGGGACGCAAGACTAAGATAGTTGCTGAAATTGTTACTATCCAGCTTCGTCGTAGTGACCGGGCGAACAAGTACAACGGATTCAAGGCCCCCTCCCTGGCAAAGACTCACACCACCAAAAGCAAAGTCAAGCCTAGGATGATCCCAACCAGGCCAACACCACCTCTGCTGCTGCTCCCATCGCCAAGACGGCGGCTGATCCTGCCCCGCTTCCAGTACATTGGGACTGTTAGATGTGGGATTCCGGCCGAAGAGCTCTCCATTTCCAGGTTGACAGCTGAGCCGCAGGAAGAGACTTCTTCCTCCTCCACTGCATAATCATCTATATCTGGTAAGAAACAATGGAAGGTGCTTGTTTGGAATGTGCGTGGAATAAATTCAGATGATAAGCTACTAGCTATAAGAAACGCCATTTCTATCAGTGGTTGTGATGTAATATGTTTGCAAGAGACCGAGCGCTTGCACTTTGATTTGAACTTCATCAAGACCTTTGTCCCCGAAGATTCGATAAATTTGCTTTCGTGCCATCTCGTTGGGCCTCTGGTGGTATTCTTTCAGTGTGGAATAGTCTTTGATGGAGTAACTACTTTCTCTGATATTTTCGCAGTGGGTATTGAATTTACTTCTAAGTTATCTGGAAATGTTTGGAAGCTTTTCAATATATCTGGCCCATGCCGTGGCGAAGACAGGAATTCTTTCACTTCTTGGCTTTATCCTGAACATCCAGAACTCTGAAGACTGCCTCCTCTTGGGCGATTTTAATTTCATAGGATCCGTAAGTTACAGGAATAAACCTGGAGGAGACCTAAATGATATCATGTTATTCAATGACATAATCCGCAGTCAGGCACTAGTTGAAATTCCCCTAAAAGGGCGCTCATTCACCTGGAGCAATATGCAAGAGGATCCCTTGCTGGAACAACTTGATTGGGTTTTCTCTTCGAGCAATACTCTCTTGTGTCCAAACACTGCGGCGACGGCTCTAGGAAAACCTGTCTCCGATCACTGCCCCTATGTTGTTACCATTGAAACAAAGATCCCCAAGAGCAAAATCGTCCGCTTTGAAAATTGTTGGATCAACCACTAAGGTTTTCTCGATGTGGTCGCAAACTCTTGGAACAGTCCTTGCCACACCACAAATAGTGCTGCCCTCATATGCAGAAAGTTCAAAAAACTGAGATATGAGCTCAAGAATTGGAGTAAGGGGATTTCCCGCCTCTCAATTCTGATTCAAAACTGCAATGAGGCCCTGGTTGGGCTAGATGGGCTCAAAGACCTGCAGCCACTATCTACCCCGGAGAAGAACTTCAGAAGGATTGTCAAAGCCCATCTCCTCACCCTCCTGCAGCACCAAAACGCCTATTGGAAGAAGCGTTGCACTATTCGATGGATTAAATTCGGAGAAGAGAACACCAAGCTTTTTCAAGCCTTGGCAACTGAACGGTATAGAAAAAACTCAATTGCATCTCTCAAGCTCCCTGATGGCACTGAAGTGCATGATCATACTGCCAAAGAGGCTGTCCTTTTCCAAGCCTTTAAACAGCGACTAGGTGAATCATCCCCTCCGGCTATGAAATTTGATTTACCATCCATAATCCAAAAGGTACATGGTTCAGAAACATTGTCTGAACCTTTCACACATAAGGAAATTGACGAGGTTGTCAAAAAAAAGCCTGCTGATTGCGCACCTGGACCTGACGGGTTCAATGGCATGTTTCTGAAAACCTGCTGGCACATCATCAGAAACGATTTCTATCAACTGTGTGGTGATTTTTACCATGGAACCTTCGATCAGAAAAGCATCAATTCGGGATTCATTACTCTTATCCCGAAAACCGGATCGCCTCAAACAACAAATGACTAAAGGCCAATTACACTATTGAACTGCTGTTTGAAAATCATTACAGAACTCCTTGCAAATCGACTCCAAAAATTGATACTGAAAATTGTTCATCGGGAACCAGTACGGCTTCCTACGCGACCACACAATCCAGGAGTACATCTTTCAATGTCAAAACTCGGGAAAAGAAATCGTTCTGTTGAAGCTAGATTTTGCCAAAGCCTTCGATATAATTGAACACTCTGCTATGCTGGAAATTATGAAGAACATGGGCTTCGACGCTCGCTGGCTTGGGTGGATTGAGTGTATCTTCAACTCTGGGATGTCGTCGATGCTGTTGAATGGCGTGCCCGGTAGACAATTCATCTGTCAACGCGGTGTCCGTCAGGGGGATCCTCTTTCCCCCCTCATTTTCGTTCTTGCGGCAGATCTTCTCCAGTCGGCTATCAACGAAGCACATCGGCCCAACATAATTGAACTCCCTTCCCTGCGCGAGGATCACCAGATTACCCAGTGATACAGTACGCTGATGACACGATACTTGCCATGCCAGCGCGCCCTACCCAAGCTAGCAAAATGAAGCAACTCCTCATGGACTATGCTGATTCCATTGGTCTGAAAATTAATTTTCAGATATTTGTCCTAGTACCCATCAACACTACTGGACCTCTGGCTGTTGAATTTAGCTCAAATCTTTCAGTGCTCGACTGGTTCGAAGCCATTCACCTATCTGGGATTGCCGATGGGAACTACCAGACCAACGATCATAGATCTTATGCCAGTGGTGAACAGTGTTGAGAGGCGGTTGTCTTCATCGCTCAGCATGCTCTCTCATGGCAGCAAACTTCAGCTCCTGAATTCAGTCCTGACCTATATGATAATCTACCCGATGTGCACCATTATCAAATTCCCTCCAAAGCTGATTGAGCACCTCGACAAGATCCGAAGATGTCTTTGGCATAAGAATATGGAAAATGGAGAAACATGCAACTCTCTTGCTGCATGGGACATTGTTTGTCGCCCGAAGAAGAAAGGGGGCCTTGGCATACTAAATCTTCAGGTGCAAAACACGGGTCTGCTTCTCAAACACCTACACAACTTCTACAACAAAAAGGGCGTGCCTTGGGTCGACCTAGTGGGCTACGTACTATGCTGACAAGGTCCCTCACGCTTTGGAAATTTATGGCTCGTTCTGGTGGAAAGACATAATGCAGCTGAATGATATTTACAGAGGGATCACGAGAGTTCAGATCGGGGATGGATCCACTGCTCTGTTTTGGAAGGATTTATGGCACGAGATCATTGCTAATACACACCCCCGAGCATTCTCTTACGATAAAACAGAAGACGCCTCTGTGGCAGAATTACTTGGTATTGAGGACACCAATCAAGGATTCCACCTGCCCCTCTCTGCGCAAGCGTACGAGGAGGTCCAAGACCATGCAACTGTTGACTGCCTCGACGTCACCCGACAACGCAACAAAAGACAAATGGGCCTGTACGGGGGGAGAGCTTTCGTCTGCCAAATACTACAAATTCTATTTCAAGGATGTCACAGCCGACAAGGAGTTCGTGTGGATCTGGAAGTCGGCCTGTATAATGAAGCTCAAGGTGTTTGCATGGCTGATCCTAGCTGACAGAATCAATACGAAAAACATGCTGAGCCATAGGCACTTCAATGTGGACGACAACGTGGACTGTGTCCTATGTGACTCGGGGTCTGAAGAAATGGTGGAGCACTTGTTTTTCACGTGCCCATTCAACAAGTGTTGGGAAGACCTGCAAATGACCTGGCTCTCAGATAGCAACAGACTAAAAATTGATTCACTCCGCTAGGGATGGATGGTCGAGACCAATGTTCATGGAGGTTTTCACGGCAGCCGCGTGGGGTATTTGGAAAGAGAGGAACGGCAAAATTTTCCAACGAATCCCCCCCAACTCATAGATCCTGGACCAACAGATTCAAGCTAGACTTTGCCCTCTTAGCCCATAGAGCTAAGTCTAGACTTGGGCCTTCTATTGATTCTCTGATTAGCACCTTGTGTAGGCGGCATCTCCCTCTTCACTGTTTTCCCTCTTTTAGCCCCCCTTCCCCTACCATCCAACCAATGTGTCTCTCACTCCCTTCTCTGGGATGGGAGATGTAGGTGGATGATGTAGTGGCTTGTTGTACATGTAATACAGAAATTTAAATACAAAATAGTAGGAGCCTCTCCTTCTGTCCTTTACCGCTCAAAAAGAAAGGAATGAATTAAACAAGCCAGAACTGAAACTCCTGCTCTAATCTATTCGAGTCCCAAACAAGAAAGTGGAAGGGAACTCTGTACTTGGGTAGAGGAAAATGGATCAAAACATGAATAAATGAAGCTATAGCTCCATCAGTCCTCTTTTTGACAGAACACAGGACTTGTATCAGAGTGTGAAACAAACTGCGCCAATTGACCTACTATTCAGTGGTATTGACAACGAATTAGCAAATACCCTCCCCTCTCTATAAAGGAATGTTTCAGAAAACAGACATTGCTACTGATGGAAGCTTATTAACTTTAAGTGTTCAAAAACCTAAAACTGGCTATAGGATTTGGAAAATATAGGTGTCATTTACAATCCAGAATTGCCAGGAAAATATTATAACTAAGAGGTATGTCGAATCAACGTAGCAATGTTGTAAAGATGATTTTTACAAGATACCTGCTCTTCTTCTGAAACTTGATCTTCAACATCATTGTCCTTTTCTGACATCCTAGAATCTACAACTGAAGCAGGCAAAGGTCTTGGAAGAAGTGGTGCAACGTTTCCAGCAAAGCTTGGCTGAAAACAAAAATGACACAAGTGATAAGAAATTTGAATAAGAAAATACAAATATATAACCTCTGAAAGTAGTATGAGGGGAACCCCAAAACACACAACAATAAATCCAGCCACACTACAGTAGGACACAGATATCTATGGATGATCTTTGTGGACAGAAAGTGAAGGTCCTGTTTAACTCAAATCATGTTTTGGAGTACAGAATACATAGATGCAATTAAAGCAAATAAGAGTGAGCGTTACCAGGATTAACGAACAATAATTTCCAGAAAATATATGGGTCCTAGAATAAAAATTATTAGATTTAGTTTGACCAATACCCATAGACCAAATTTCCTAACACAAAATTACCTAACTGATAACATGTTTTCTTTCTCAGATAGATAGAATATTTATCTAAGGAACATCCATAGATTTAATCAAGGAATCAAAGAAAAAAATTGAAGTGCAAAAACCACCAGAAAGACATCTGAAGCACGTTCAAACATAAAAGGAGCTGATGCAGAGAATGCCAGAGTAAAGAAAATGTTCGACAAGCAGGTAACGTGAAAGAATGGAAGTATGCCAACCTGAATTTCATGTGGAACGCCATTGCGTAGCCAAGATCGACAAAGAGCATACAAGGATCCTGACTCGCTGTCTAACACATTAACCTTTGGAACAATAAAAAAATCAGAAGAAATGTCAGTTCTAGTACGATATCAAACTCGCCTATCTAGATGACAAACAAGGAATTGAGAAATTTGATCAACATATATTTGTCCTTCCTGAGCCGAAGGTCTACTTTGTTACGACTCAGGTACTAAGCTCAGACACTTAAATGGAAGTATCTGATTAGTACCCAGCCATATAATCTCATCCTCATAACCCCTTTATAAAATGAATTAGGAGCTTGCTTGAAGTGGAATATTTTTATATCGTTTTTCATCTCTATGGTAAAGACTACACCCCATGAGGTCATATTAACATAGGAACTGAAATAGCATATCAATAATCAGTACAAAGTACAAACTCATGTCATGCACACATCTTATGAGTGTCAGAAATTTAACGGAAAGAACAGATCCATTTGCATTTGCAGTAGTAACTGGACATGTTAAAACTAGTCAAATAGTATAAGTGTATAACCATTCATCTTCCGTGCATCACAAATATACAGGTAACTGAAGATCCATTTGCATTTGCAATAGTAACTAGACATGTAAACTAGTCAAAAAGTAGAACCGTTGTCCTCTTACTAGAGTGTTAACCATAATACAAGATATCACATCTCTCAACTCTATGTGTAAAGAGGAAGTTTTAATAAAGATGGACTCACTTTGCGGTCATTGATCACCACAGTTGAAGCGTTTTCTTTGGTACTTTCTCTGCAATGAATCCAAGTTACAAAATTTCACTTCAAACTTTCAGTCCGAGAGACAAACTATAAGCTTGCAGTTTCGTTATTTACCTCTCCTTTGTGGTGACATGCTCCCGAGGAAATGGAGTAAAAGCTGGAGACGGGGTAACAGCTGGAGATGGAGTAACAACTAGAGATGGAGTAACAGCTGGAGATGGAGTAACAGCCAGAGATGGAGTAACAGCCAGAGATGGAGTAACAGCTGGAACAGCATTAACCTACATTACCCCCAAAAAATAAATGTTACTCCCTCCATAAACTAATATAAGAGCGTTTAGAATACTAAAGTAGTGATCTAAACGCTCTTATATTAGTTTACAGAGGTAGTACAAGAGAACCTCACAAATATTGACAGCATAATTTACAGGTAAGGAATATCCTAATCAGCACAATGCCTGAAAGGCCATAAATCAGAACACGAAACAGCACTGTGTAAAATCAAATAACATGTGCTCAGACAACAAGATACTATGATTTCCTTTCTCTGATGATTTCACGGTCTATATATCACCAGCGCCTGCCCGTACACAAGGTGGCCCTATCTCAACAACAACACTTCATCAGATTGCCAAAATGAGAGCAATAAACCTCAATATGCGCATGAAACCCTAGCAACATTACCGATTAGGCATTCAGTCGGCGAGATCCAAAAGCCTTGGGGTGAGAATTAAGGGAAGGGTCGAGGTTTAGTATAATTCCCTTCCAGTCGAACCCGCAAACTAAAAAATAGCCATTCACCTTGAGCTGAGGATGCGGGGCTATTGGAACCCCTCGGGGAGGGTGCTCTGGACGCGGCGTCACGCCCGCCACCACCGCCCGCGGCACCGCAGCGTAGGACCGCTGCTGCGTTGGCACCTGGGGCTGCTGAGACGGCGCTGTGACGGGGACAGCGACGGCGTGGGCGCGCGGGTACGCGACGCCGGTGGGGGGAGCGCGGCGATGGTTCGCCGCCGCCGCCGCGGCGGCGGCGGGGGTGGAGGATGATGCGGCGACGGGGTAGAGGATGCCGTGCGCGGGGGAGGTGTGGCTAGGGTTAGGGTTGAGCGGGCGGCCGGTGAAGAGCAGCGGCGGCGTGGGGGTCGAGTTGGCGGCGCGCTGCGGCGCGGTGTAGGTGGCGAGGAAGGCGCGCGGCAGGGGCTGCGAGGCGGTGGCCGGAGGAGGGGGCGTGGCGGTAGGCGGGAGCGCAGTGGTGGTGGTTGGTGGCCGCTGTGGTGGTGGGGACGACATGGCGCTGACTCGCGAGGATCGAGAGACAGGGGTTTGGTGGGGTCTCCGCTTTGAAAAATGGCTTTGAAAACTGACACGCGCCTCTCGGCTGGGGATTTTATTTCGAAATTTTTGGGCTGGGCGCGGGCGGGCCGCTTTGCGGCGCTCCTCGCCTCTTCTGGCTGGCCCCGTCGCAGTCTTGAGTTAGGCGGCGCGGCCGAATGTTCTGTAGCGTGGACAGACAGAAGCTTCTCTATTTTTTCTTGAAAAAAAAAAGACAGAAGCTTCTCTTCGGTAATCGGTAAAATAAAAAGGAATTGGTTGGTCCATTTGTGAAGCCCGCAGGGTCTAAGAGCAAGTACAATAAGACCTCTCCCAATGCTCCACCTTGTACAGGTGCTAAGGCTGCCATGTGGGCAAAAATTCTGATGTGGCAAGGTAATTAAGAGGATAGAGATGAGTGTGGTGGTCCCAGTAAAAAACAATGTCAAGCGCGAGAACTTAGGCAAAACACTTAAATTGAAATGATCCCACCAATGCATGAAGAACTTTAGTTGCAAAATTATTAAATGAAGGATGCTTAGCACCAACAAGTTAAGCACTTATGCATTGGGGGCTTTAGTTGCTAAAGTTTTTAATGTGCTTAGCACCTCATGTAAGCACCAATGCATTGGAACTAGCCTAAGACCTTTCCCAGTGCTCCATGGTGTAAGGTGCTAGGAGTGCCACATAGGCAAAAAGATGATGTGGCAAAGCAATTAAAGAGGAAAGAGAGTATTATGGTGACCCCAATAAGAACCAATGCTAAGCACGTGGACCTAGGCAAAAAGACAACCAACCAATACATGAAGGAGTTTTATTAGTAAACAATTAAATAGAGGAGGCTTAGCTATAAAACCTAAGCACTGATGCATTGGGGACATTAGTTGCTAAACATTTTAATGCACTTAGCACCCCACTTTAGCACCAATGCATTGGAAGAGGTCTAAGATGACATAGACGGACTATAAGACTTTAAATATTATATTTTTGATGAGTTGACGGAGAGAGAAAAGAAAACAAGCGGGCTACTTAGGGCATCCACAATGTGATGATGCCAAATTTGTGATGTTGTCAGAACTTTGGCATCAACGCCAAATAGCTCATTTCTCCACAATGTACATGGTTCTCATATTATTGTACAGTAGGCCCCATTGCAGAATAGAATGGGTTAGAAAATTGCTACATGCATGCCCACCCCGCATTGCTTGCACTAGTTTCCTGAGATTCATATACTATTTTATTACCTAGAGAAGTTTGGCATCGAAGCCCGAAGAAGCATCGGTTCCCATTCATTTGGCTATGACACTAGTCTCCGCAATGTGTATATGTGGTGTCAAAAGCTAAAAACCAATTTGGCAATACTATTTGGCATACATTGTGGATGCCCTCACTATAACAGTCGGCTGTAGCACGTGCTCCTAGACACTCTACGAGAAAGAGAGGTGGGCCATGTATCAACAAAGTAGTACAAATTTATATGCATCTGTTGTACTTGCCGGCTATAAGGGATGACTTGGCAAGATCATATAGTCAGCAGTTGGCTATACTATTAACCATGCTCTAAGGCTACTCATGGTGAAGAGTATCATATATTAGTATCATGCACTACCTTTATAGTACATAGTATCATAGAGTAGTATCATATATGATCATATTTATTGACATGCATGACACAAAGTAGCATAGCATTTAACATGATACAGTATCTATCTATGTTACTCTAACCATCTCTTCTTTAATTCACTATCACATCAGCATGTTTGCTATTCCCGAGTGCATGATACCGGCTAAGATATCACCACTATGGCCAGCCTAACAGCGTCAAAGAAACAGTATAAGTTGGCTGCTGAAATGTTACCAAGAGCGTAAAATAAAAAGGGATTGGTTGGTCAATTTGTGAAGCCCTCGATGCTTCATTTTGAGTCAATAAATCCCATCCTTTCTCAAAAAATCACTAAACAAAAGCGTCCAGAAGTTAACCTAGTCTAAATCTTCACCGGAGTCCATCCTCCAAGTCCTTGTTGCTTCCCTTCCTGTCCTTGTCCGACAACCATGAGCCGCGCGAAGTAAAGTTGCAGTCTTTGGCAAGGAAGAGTGAAACATGGGACACGGACGGGCCCACATGGGACACAAGGCAGCGCCATCTCCCATGTCCTACCCTTCCTCATCAGAGTCTGCGGCTTGACCATCGCCGTTGGTGGTGAGGTCAACAATGGACATCAACGGGCCAGCCTGATGTGGACCAGATCATGACCAAGGCATCCAAGAGTGAGGTTAATGCTAGCACAAATGTTGAACCATTAGAGAATCCAAAGGAAGACAAGGGCAAAACCATTATCTTAGTTGGGAAGCTTTCGATGCCTATTTTGGGAGAAATGACACATCAGATTTCCAGCTGCAACTTCCCACCTAAACCTAATTAATTCTGGAAGTCTCTAGCACTTTATAGAGGCTGGAAAAGATGGTCTTAGAAGTCAGCTTTCATTCAAAAAAATTGTGCATCATTTGAGGTCTTGAGTCAAAAGTTGTGCAAGTTTCCATGCAAGTTGTCCAGGAATTTATTACAGTGCGAGGCTCAACAAGTTTGCTCCTGCTACAGTTTGGGGTTCACGAATTTACCCTTCTTTTTTAGTTGTTTTCACACCTAACTAGTGGGTGCTTCTAGTATAAATACTTCCCAGTTGTTCCATGTAAGGGGGGATGAGATTTTTGAGTTTATGTTTGTAGACAGTCGGTGAGATTGTGTTGTTCTGTGAGCACTAGTATCGTTGAGTGTTAGCTCATGTGTGTGGATTGGATGGCCTGTCCTCAATTCATATAGGATCCTTGTGGTTCCCTCTTGTGATTCTTCATAGGTTCACAAGCTTCATGGTTTGGGTTGTATCCTTGTAAACCCAGCTAGTTATCCGCTGCAATTTATCTGAGAGTGTTTCCTCTTGTTCTTGCCACTTGAGAGAAACAAAGTTTGTTGAAACAAGTATCGAGTGAGTTTGTTGCTGCTCCTTGTGAGTTCTTTGGCACCGTGAAAGATCGTTTCTGAGGCGTCCCGTATCATCTTGGTATCAGAGCTTTAGGTTGTTCGTGGTGCTATTTTCTCTCTTGCTGATTTTGTTCTTGAGAAGCTTCCATGGGTTCGAGGAGATCCAGCAGTGTTGATGGTGTGCATGGAGGTAGACACCTCGTGGAGGAGGAGATTCCACTTCCCGTGTATGATCCAAGCTTGCAGCCCGCCTATGTGTTGGCATTGGAGGATACACGAGAGTATGTGTTGAACAAGGTGGAGAGGCGCATATCGGCTGTGGAGACCAACCTTGGCTGGAGAATCGACTCCCTCACCGAGGAACTCCATCGAGATAGGCTTGCTGCACGGGATCGACATCGACAAATCCCGAACAGCAGGGCGAACGCCACCTTGAGGAGGAGCATGGAGAGCACAACCACGTCTACTCGGGTGATGCTCATAGCTACTACACTGCACCACCTCGGCGTGCTCGCTACGACCAGCGAGGTGCTACTTGGGCGCCACCGTCGCCACCACGAGATGGGCTTGCGGCACGGGGTCGACATCGACAACTCCCCATACAGCAGGACCACCATGGAGAGCATTAGAGCGACCACTCCGATGATGCTCGAAACTACTACGAGTCTCGACCACGACGTGTTCATCATGATCGTCGCGGAGAAGGCCAAGAAGGCTTTGCCATGGGAGGAAGAGGTCATGGGCATGCTCATCGTGACCATGAAGATAATGGGATTGGTAAATTCAAACTTACCATACCATCATTCAATGGGAAAACTGAGCCCGATGATTATTTGGAGTGGGAGATGCGTGTGGATCAGATTTTTGACAGCCACCGCTATAAGGAGAAGAAGAAGGTACGATATGCATCCATTGAGTTTACTGGATATGCTTTGATTTGGTGGAACCAATTGTGTCGTGCTGGAGGTCATCCGGAGACATGGGTGCAAATGAAAAATCTGTTGCGGAGACGGTTTGTTCCTGAACATTTCACAAGAACCTTGTACAATCGACTCCAATGGTTGTGCCAAGGTAATTCTAGTGTTGACGAGTACTATAAAGAGATGGAGATTTTGATGATTAGGACAGCGGTGAATGAGCCAGAGGAGGCCACAATGTCAAGATTCTTTCATGGACTGAATGAAGATGTGCAAGAAAGGATAGAGATTGTTACATATCAAGATTTGCAAGAACTTGTGCATCAAGCTATTCGTGTAGAGCAGCAGCTGAAGCATCGCCAAAATCGCAGCCAAACCTATACATCAAGCACTTCGAGAGGTTCAGCTCAGCGAGAAGTAGACGGAAGTGTCGCTGCAGATTTTCGCTCACACAACAAGATGACTACAAAGGAAGCTAATGCATCAAAGGTTGAATCTTCCAATACTCCTGCCACTCGCATTAGTAATATTCAGTGCCATACATGCAAGGGTAGAGGTCACTTCAAGAAGGATTGTCCTAATCTGAAGAAGGTTTTACTCACAAATGATGGATATGTCACCGATGACTCAAGTGACAAATCTGAATCTGAGAAGAAAGATGCAAATTATTGTACTTTTGAGACTGGAGCACCTTTGAGTTCAGATGGAGGAGATGGTGTTAATCTCATGGTTTGCAAAGTGGCTCATGATGATGCTCCTATTATTGAGAAGGGCCAGCGACAAAATGTGTTCCAATCCATTTGCAAGGTCAAGGACAAAAACTGCAAGGTGGTCATCGATGGAGGCAGCTACAAAAACATCATTAGTAGTGATCTTGTGCATGCTCTTGGGATGTCAACATGGAGGCAGCCCCAGCCATATTATGTGAAGTGGCTGAATGGTGTTGGTAAGCTGAAGATTATGCATCGTGCAAGGGTGCAATTTTTAGTGGGAAGTTATGTGGACAAAGTGGTATGTGATGTGGTGCCAATGCGAGCTTGTCATCTTCTTTTGGGAAGACCGTGGCAGTTTGATCATGATGC